AATCAGTTGGCCGAGGCATTGATCTAATTCAGAATGGTATATATTCATTTTCTGAGTGGTTTACTTCTGTCATTGTAGCATTGATATAACTTTTCTCTTTTAAGAAAGGGAAAAGTGCAAATACGTGCATTACTCTACGTAACTTGCTTGCCACATTACCGTTTTTATTCTATGAAAGTGATCTTTCTTTTAATTATTTGTAGGACAAAAACATCATTTCACATTTGACAAAGTATTTGCCCACAATACATCTCAACAAGAGGTGTTTATAGAGATATCACAACTGGTGCAGAATGCACTTTCTTATAACCATCAAGTGCACTCTACACCAGTTTCCGATTCAGATAAATCAGTCATCTAATTGAAGAACATAGAAACCAGCAATCCGCACGTTGAGATTAATTATGTCTAGCTCAAAATAGAGAAAATGACTAAGCAATTGCAAGCACCTTTAGTTTTTGATTCATGGAAGCTAATTGATGTTGAAGAATAGATATCTTCTCTCTTTGAGATGAACAAGTCTCCTACAAAAGAAGTTTAAAAGGTTAAATTTTAGGCGCTACTAACAACAAAATTATAACCAAAGGTCCAATGGCCTAGCAGTATTTAGGTTACCGGTAGCTCCCAACCTCCTTGGGGACAAGGGTTCAAGTCCAGTAAATGTGAGAAATGTGAGTTTTTACCGTGTATAAATATAATATACTTCAAAAAGAACAATAAAATTATACAGGATCATTCAGTTAAAAACCATGACAAAACTAACCTCCAATACATTTGACTTCATGCTCAAACTATCCAACTCTACAATAGAGCGGCTGGTACTTTCTTTATGTTCTTCCGCGTCCTTCAAGCGATCTTGTAATTCAGAGACAACATTTTTTTGCTTTTCATATTCTGAAAAGTAATTAAACTTTTTTTAAGAAAATATTTTTTTAAGAAAAGTAATTAAATTTTAATAAAAAACAAATTTAAATAACTTAAACTTTAAAAAAGAAATTTTAAGAAAAAAATTAAAATTWWRAMMWAAAWTTCTAAATAATTTTTTTTAATAAAAAACTAAACTTGTAAAAAGATTTAATTTTAAGAAAAATTATAATTTTAGAAAAAATAAATTTGAAAAAAAATTAAAATATTTAAAAAGATTAAATTCTTAAAAAAAATTAAGAAAATAATTTTTTTAAATTTAAAACAAAATTTAATTTAAAATAAATAATTGTAAGTTCATTAAACAAAATTAAATCCTGTGGGGCCATGGGTGGGACCCACCCTATGAAAAAACTGTCTTTTTAAAAAAATTCGTAAGTTACGTTAATTGTAAAATGACCTCTGTACACACTTAACGGTGCTAACAAGGTATTCCATGGCTATTTTAAAAAAAATTTAAAAAATAAGGCTAAAAATGTAATTTCTTAATTTTGAATGGTTATTTTTGTCAGAATCCCTCGAGCCCTTACGACCGAGCTTATCAATGGTAAAAGCCAATATAAGAAGTCCCGGGAACTCTTGAAGCAAATCAAAGGTAAATGCACTCGGCCATCTTCCCAGGTGAATATAGAAACATATTAAACTGTGAAAACATTCTCATGATCAACATGGTATATAAAACAGAAATAAACCAAAAAAAAGTCAAATGGGCCCGGTTTATCTCACTCGAATGTTGGGTCAGAGGTATGATGTACGCAACGCAGACAAGACTTCTACCCCAAAAGAGTAGAGCATCTATTTCTTTGAAGATCCAAGGCTTGTGAAAAGTGTGCGAAGAGAGAGAAAGTTAGCCCAAAGAGTTTGACAAAGAAAATGTCATAAAAGGCAAGAAAAACATGATAAATTTTTGAAAACCTAGTTGTTATGGTATATAAAATTGAAATATACCAAAAGAATATTCAAACGAGCCGAGTATACCCCGCACGAAGGTGGGGTAAGGGTTATGATGTACGCCAAAGGGTATAGCGATTGTTTCTATGAAGAACCACCCGGCTTGTGAAAAGTGTATGAGAAGAAAGAACCCAAAGAGTTTGACAAAAAGGACTTTAGATACGATAAGTTTGGAAAACTAGTTATGAAAACTAGTAATGAAAACGTCTTTATAGCTAACCTCCTTGGAATGTGTAGCTTGCAATCCGGTCCGTACACAAGTGTTACTCCCATTGTGCAACTTAATAGTAAGAAGAACTAGGCCATAATACGAGAAAGCGTTCCCAAAGAAAACGACCCATAAAAGTAGCGTTGGCTTTATTAGTTCAGGTGAAAAGAGCAGAGCCATTGTTGAGACGTTTCTTTTACTATGGTCGATGATTTCAGGTTTTTCATCATCGAACTTAGTCTGGGAGAGTAATAAACTGGTCAAAGAAACCTTCTATCACACAACGAAAGAACACCAACATACGTGTACATATATGCATATGTACATAAACTACACAAAAATAAAATATATAGGAGTTAGTTATTTTGACATGACTAATGGTTCAACCTTCTCCAAACATGTCCAAGAAACCTTCTATCACAAATAGCGAAAGGACACCAACATATGTCTATATATGTACATGTACATAAATACATATATTGTATATACACATATATGCATGTGTTTGTGCATATATATATCTATGTATATTTTTTTGTGTGTGTGTGTTTGTATGTACATTGTTTCAATAGGCTTTTTATCGACTTTGACCAAGTTTTACAGTTGGCTGAGCAGACTAGAAACAATAACTAAAATCAACATGTTTTCTCCTTTTTTCATACTCAAGGTAGTGTACCCATTCCAAATTTTATTTGAATCAAACGATTCGCAGCTGCCAATATGAAACTTCAATATGCATCAGATTCGGATTCAGGCTAAACATAATGTACTAGATTTGGCTAAAAAAAACTAATCTACATATATCTATAAGAGTTAATATAGAAATTATAAAATGATATAGGGAAGCATACCCATGCAACAGAAGCCTCAAAAATAGTGCCAACAGTCGTGACCCATCAAGCATCTACCAGGTAAGAATTTAGTAAACAACCCCTTAGTTTAAGTTTAAGGGTCTGATTGACAGTTTATTAAAAAAAATTATATCAGGTTACTTATTATTCATATATGCAACTTTGATAGCCAGATTGATATATTATTGGCAAATGATTGGGTTTCTTTTGGTAGGAAACTTGACTGGCTTCAAGATATGTCATCAATGCCTTCCAAAGCTCATGTCTAGATTAAAGACATTGCGAATAATCCAACTAGTTTATCTTGCAGTATTGCACGGGTACACAACTAGTATATATATAATGCGACTGGATTATAACTGATATAGGATCCTCTTGATAAATATAAATGTTTAATCAATTGTCCTTTAATACTTATTATAAATAATAAAAAAGTCCAATTTATTTCCAACATTCTCCCATTGGACTTACCATAATCTATAAGGACAAAAGAACTATAAACGTTACATATATCAAATGAAAGGCGCAATGCGAGATTCTAACATTTGAGAATTCGTTCCAACTTGGTTAGAATAGATACCATATGTAGGACTAATAATCTATACGATTTTGACAAACTAGTTTACTTAATAACCACCAACACACAATATATCATATCCGACATAAGTTCATAAGTGTCTGAATTTGATCATGTATGTAAATAATTATATCTACCATAATTAGCATAAAAATGTAGCTCATGATCCAACAAATGTTTTAGAAACATTTCTAGAACTTACAAGCAAAAGTTCTTAACACTGATGAATCAAATTTTCTTATGTAGTATGCAATTATTGCTTAAGTACGATGATTCAATTGTATGAAGTATATAATGATTCCCATATCCATAACATGTTTGGGAAACATACCACTGAAAGGGCTTTAGTGAATGTATCTGCATGTTGAGCTTCGGTATCAATTATGTTCAACAATAACCTCTTTTCTAGGGGTGTAAACGATTCCAGCTTTAAACGAGCTACTCAAGCTCGATCTTAATAATGCTCGAGCTTGAATGGATCTCGAATGCAAAATTGGACTCGTTTAACTTAACGACTGGAGCTTTATAACACTAATGTTTGACTTGGCTCGTTCGAAAACTCAATTCCATTTTTCGAGTCGAGCTGAGTCGAACCGACCCACTCGAGCATACCCTTTTTCTGAGCCAAACATGCTCATATATTTATTGTTCATACAATAAAATATAAAAATTATCTATCTCAAGCCGATAAACAAGTTAATCGATAGCGAGTTCGAACCCATAAATGAGCATCAAGCTCTAGCTTGATACCTTGAAAATTTTTCGAGCTCAAGCCCGACAATGAAAAAGTTAATCGAGCTCGACCCTATATTAATTTTTTAAGCTCGAATCAATTAACCTACTACTCGACTCGACTCGTTTACACCCCTACTCTTTTCTCTTAACCTTTTGCCTCACACTGAAATATTTAAGACCAATATGCTTTGAATTATTTAACTTTTTGCTATTTTCACTTAAAAAGACTGCAACTTCATCATCACAAAACATCTTTAAAGGACTTGAAACTATAGAGCTTAAGACATTACGTTTGAATCAAGAAGTTCTTGATCCAAATTCCCTCACAAACCCTTTCATAAACTGTTAGACTAATCTCGACTCCCACTAATCTCAATCAAGAAAGTGAAGTGGATAGAAACCTTTGGCTAAAAAGTTTCTATATAAATAATAGAAAGGACAAGGGAAGGTAAAAGAAGTATGGCCAAAAGTATGGAGAGGGGATGGCCTAGCCTCCCAATCATCACCAGCCAAGAAGGATAGTCGACTTTTCCTGCGACCTAAGTCGCGGGAACCACTGGATGGTAAAAAGGATTCCAAATAGTTACTCGGGTACGCATGCGGATAGAGCTTAAGAAAAGCCGCAAGAATACAAACAAGGGATCAAACAGTAAGTCTCGTGACCCCGCAAGAAAAGTCGCGGAATCCTTTGATCTTTAGTTCCGATCCATTTTCTTGTGCAACATCAAATGTGATAAAAATATCACAACATTATCATGGCAATTATTTGCGTTTGATCCACTTGATTCCTTTGTTTATCCCAATTCGTTACATTAAATACAACAGAGTATGATACATACAAGAAAGGGGGAAAAAAGTTTCTTATGGGTTATTTCTATTTGATAAATAACCACTAGACTTCCATGGGAAGGATCTAAGTAAGGTTTCAATGAAGACCATAAGCTTATGCATACCATATGAAATACATTGTCAAGACTATCTTGGAATAATCTCGGATATTGAAGCATCATTAATAGAAACCTGAGAAGAGCTAGATCTCCTTTTAGTTGTTCCTGAGCCACTTGTCCCTGAAGTACTAATGTACCCTTGAAGTGGCATTTCGGAATCAATACCGCTATGCATGAAAAAAGCTGGCTCAGATGGTAGTCGGAGAGTAAGAGAGAAACTATTAAGCATAAGTACAACTGAACCCATGGTTGGCCTGTCAACAACATTATTTTGAACGCACAGTAAACCAATATGGAGGGTTCTCATGATCTCATGCAATGAACCTGGTCCAACCATCAATGCAGGATCTATCATATCAGATACATTTCCGTCTCGCCAACTTTTCCAGGCCTATAAGAAATTAATCAATCTTTTAGTACCAGGATGTGATTCATTTTGGTTTTAACTACAAATGATGCAAAGTATGTTCATTACAAAGTTATGTTTCATGATTCTCAACCAGTACTTACATAGCTAAGAAGATCTTCAATGCCCTTCCCGATCCGAAAGCATGTGTTCTTTTGACCGGTTAGTATTTCAAGCACTAATACTCCAAAGCTGAAAACATCTGACTTTATGGAGAATTGTCCATGCATTGCATATTCTGGCGACATATAACCACTGTAGGGTGGTTTTGAGAGAAAGAAAGTTAGTATCGTAACGTAAACACATAATTGGTTATGTTTTTTTGACAAGTTAGATATATATTAAAGCCCAAGACTATCAAAAGTGAATTTGAATATTAACTAATTAAAACAATCTGGAAAAATTTCTCATTAGTAAATCTTCATTCAATAATGGTATACTTACTAAGTTCCAACAATTCGGTTTGTGCTTCCATGGGTTTCTTCAGGGTTAAATAACCTTGCCATGCCAAAGTCTGCAATCTTCGGGTTCATTTCTGCATCTAGCAAAACATTACTAGCTTTCATATCACGATGGATTATCGTCAAACGTGAGTCTTCATGAAGGTAAAGAAGGCCTCGAGCAACCCCTCTTATAATTTTGTATCGTCTATCCCAATCAAGAAATGTACGCTTACTTGGATCTCCTACAAGTGCTCACATGTCTTAGTAAAAATGTTTCAATCAGAAAATAGAAATAAATGTAAGGAATGAAATGCTTAAATATCCAGAAGGCATTACCAAATATAAATTGATCAAGGCTAGCATTTGTCAAGAACTCGTATATGAGAAGCTTTTCTGTTCCTTCAATGCTGAAGCCAAGCAACCTAACCAAATTACGATGTTGTAGCTTTGCTAGAAGCACAACCTCATTCTTGAATTCAGTTTCACCTTGTCCCGAATCCTTTGATAGCCTCTTTACTGCTATTTCTTCTCCGTTTTGAAGCTTACCCTGAATATGAAGGCATATGAATGTTTAAAACTTTCATGTAAGTTTAAGGTTCTTATTATATCTGGCATATATATACACAAGATAATCTAACAGAAAGAATTGTGTCTTCTTGACTACCTTGTAAACGGACCCGAATCCACCTGCTCCAAGCTTATTGTCCTCGGAAAATTCATTTGTTGCTTCTTTGACCAACCCGAAGTCGTATTGCAATGATTCAACATTGCTGATATCCACTGTTTCATCTAATGGGAGAAGAGAGGCAACCAACACAATAAGTACTGAATTGGAAGATTATTTTTCATCTCAAATATAACAAAATTCTTAGAGTTCATCTTTGTTTAATCATGACCCACTGAAAGTAATGTACGTCTAAAGCTGATGATAACATGAAATATGAATATCATTACGTTGTCAATTGGAAACTTACCATCAACTTTATGGACATATTTTTTCTTCCGCTTCAATACCATGAAAATGCAAATGGTAGCCAGTATTATCACACCAACTGTTGGAATAACAATAATGATCACAGTGCGAGTTGTGTTACTATTTGTGCCTGCAAATAGCATCCATGAAAAAGCAAATGTGATGCATTTTGACAATATTTCGGTTAATAGACGTCCATACAAGTAAATCATTTTGTTTATACTATATTGCTTCAACAAGCTAAGTCTTAAGTATGTGTATGTTTGCATATATCGTATAAATACATAGCTAGACAGACACGTGTGTGTGTGTATATATATAGGTGTGTTAAGGGTACGATCCATTTTGGCAATCAAGCACATTCTGCACTATGTTAAGGGTACGATCCATTTTGGCCTCTCATTTACTCATTCCGCTGCGCCGACTAGCATTCTTGGATACCCTGATGCAGATTGGGGCATGGTGTCTAGAAACACGTCGCTTTACTTATGGCTATGCCATTTTCTTGGCTCACAATCTCATTTCCTAGAGTGCAAAGAAGCAACCTATTGTTGCTTGATCTAGTTGTGAATCTAAGATCGAGCTATGGCTAACACTGCAGCTGAGATATTTTGGGTTCATCATTTACTTCGTGACCTTAAAGCTCTCCCCTCAACACCTCCATTAATCCTCTGTGACAACCGTAGTGCCATTTTTGGCTCAAAACCCAATTGCTCACCTCCAATTTTTTTGAATGTGACTGTTTTTGGATGACAAACTTGTTAACACCTGATTAGTTTTTCTTTTTAAAATAAAATTTTGAGTAAACTATGATCATCGAAGTCCATGCATTTGGTTTAGAAATTATGATTTTCGTCCCTATGTTTTGTAATTATTGCTTTTTTCGTTCTAATAAGTTAAAAAGAGTTAAATGCATGAAATAATAACCTACTTTCATAAATTTTCTTATTATAATATTTTACCTTTGTTTTTCTTTATTACAACAATGTACTTTCAAATTATTTTTTTTATTAAAGTATCGTACTTTAAAAAATCTACCGATTATAGCAATGTATAACCTGTTACCTTTTAAACCGGTTAACCCTTGATTTTTTTTTGCTTGTGTGGCTTTAGTGAGATGATGTGGATGACATATCATTTAATGAGATATCATTTGATGACTTAACTAAAATAAAAATAAAAACTTATTTCAAATTATTATTAGTGATTTTTTATTTATCATTGTTATGATTTAAAAAAACATTTAATTTTTTTGAATTTTTCTTATTAAGTTGCATGCAAGTTACATATTGTAGAGTAAAATATTTTTTAAATAAATATGATACATTATTTTCAAGATATATTTTGTTTGTAAAAAATGTATGTTTTATGTTGTTCAAAAAAATACATATCTTTTAAAGTTATCTTTAAAATGTTAACAAAATAAATTGTAATCTACAATTTTTTAATATTGTCATATTAATAAATAATTCAAAAAATCTAATTAATTTAATATATTTATATGTCAAGTAAAAGTTTTTGAACAAATATAATACATTCTTTAAGAAATAATATTTTTTGGTAAAAAAAGAACAATTTTTATTTTTTCTTTTTCCAAAAAACACATAAATTTTTTAAGATATTAGCGAGATAAGTTGTATTCTACTAGGTTTATTGATATTGGCATACTAATGAATAATTTAGAATTTTTTTAATTCATTTAATATATTTATTAAATAACATGTAAAATATCTAAATATTAAAATTAAAAGTACAGTGTTTAATAAGAACTAGTAGATGTTATAATAAAATAATTTTGAAAGTACAATAATATAATAAAAAGTCACATCACCATAATACATGTGGACAACGTACGTGGACTATGAGGTGGTATGGAAGTCTGGTATAATGAGTACATTTAAATCAAAATGTTACCCACTATTATAATGGATAAATTTTTCAAAGTACAATGTCTTAATAAAAAATAGTTTGAAAGTACATTGTTGTAAAAAAATATATATAATATTATAAAAAAAATTATGAAATTAAATTATTATTTTATGTATTTTAACCAATTTAAAAATTCCTACTATTTTGTTCCCTTCTACAAAGATAGGAATTAATCTATTAAAAATGTGTTTGTTTGTTAGATTTATTTTAATAATTTTTAAACAGATGTGATTGATGTCCATTTTCTTTGTCTTTATTTTATATTTTTTCTTATAAAATTTATGGCCAATAACTTTTTGACGTGTGAAGGAAGGTTGATGTAGACGTAAGTGTGATTTTTTCTCAAGTCTTGGTCTTTGTTGTCAAGTATCCATCAATGTTGAACAAAGACTATTCCTCTCATGAATGATAGGAAAATTTTAATAACTTGGTTCAATTATAAACAAGATGTAATGAAGTAAATATTAATATATATATATATATATGTTTGATAAAATTATGTAACAATCGTACCTGGTGTTGGTAGAACGGGAGGAAACCGCTGAACTGGTGGTGGTGGTGGTGGAGGTGATGGTGGTGAGGGGATAAGTGAGGTGTTGATGCCAAATTGATATGTCTCAAACCTGATGTTACAACTTGCTGTAAGAACTCTTCCTCCAATTTTCCCGTCACAGCAGCTTGGAATTTGATTAGTTGCAGATTCCAAACAAGTATTGCACTGCTGCTCCGATAAATATGGCACACACTGTGCAAGGCCATATATTCTTGAGAAATCAGGTCCAATTGTGCTACCCATAGCAAACTTCAGCAATGAACCACCAGCAGCTGCTTCACTACTCAAATTGTTCATCAACGGTCTCAGAGCCGCATTGAACTGAGACCTATTAGTTGCATTATTAACGTTCCACATGTAGACAACATCTTTGTTCATCTCAAAATTTCCCAATATAGTGGCATTTGAGTACCTCAAGAGACAAATATCATAATATGTTATTGCTTCTCTTTGATTAGGACAAGCTTGTCTTAACCGAACAGTTGATTCATTCAAACATCTTCGGCACAAGGCTCGATCCACGTCTGCTCGACAAAGTGAGATTGCGTTGGCTGTATTAGGCTGTTGACCTTGAGAGGAGTTAAAAAACCCGTAGCCAGAGTTTGTGTTGGAGAGGGAAGAGATGGTGGCATCAAGATTTCTAGCGTAACTACTGTTGGGGGTATAAGTAGTAGTGTTTGGGCAGATATGGTAAAGGTATTCGGGTTGTGCTTTGACATGAACGTTGATTAGGTATATGAAACTAAGACAGAAAAATAAAAGCGGTTTTCCGGTGATACTCACCATGCTTTTGTAACTCCCTTAGTTATGTGGGAGAGAAAGAGAGGGGGGAGGATAATATAGTTAAGAGGCTAGAAAGAAAATGTTGAAGTCAAATTGTAATGAAACTTAATAAATTGAATACGTGGTGCTTTCCATGATGCTTCCTTTGTCTAAAGGTACACTTTATAATTTTCAAACATTGACAAAGTATTTATGAATTCTAATAAATGACATGATAAATGCCTAAGGAGGTGATCAATATTTTGTGCTGTTATAGTCAACAAAAATGTAGAGTATCAGCGAGGGAAAATTCCCTCGTAAATCCGTCACTAAAAGGGTAATCCGTCGCTTCAGTGGCTTTATTAATTAATTTTTATAATATTCTAATAAATAATAAATAATTGGAAATTTAATAATCAATAATTAAAAATCAATAATTAAAAATTAATAAGTAATTAAATTTGTACCTATAAAATAAAAAAATGGCGAAAATCAGATTAATCAGCGAGGGATTTTTTTTCTCGTTGATGTTCGTCGCTGATACCTGGTTTTCTAGTAGTCCCTTATCCTCTAAGATTTGGACCATTTTTCATTGTTCTTACTTATATCATAATCCCAAATTCGTATCTATCTTAATAACCAAAAGTTTGAATATAGAAATTCAAACGCTTTCTATTTAACTACCAAAGCTCAAATGAATTTAGTTACCTCAAAGCTAGAGAAATCGCTGTAGGAAATCTTTGATAGTATCGGCATAGGCTGATCCTGTATGGATGATATGACCATAAATCGTGCTCAACTACCACTACAAAAATGCAGAGTATCAGCGAGGGAAAATTCCCTCTCTGATCCGTCGCTGAAAGGGCAATCCGTCGTTGATCCGTTGCTGATACTCCGTCGGTCAAACAGTCGTAGGTAATGCTATCAACGACGGATTAGCGACGGATATCAGCGACGGATTTGCGACGAACACTTTCAGCGACGGATTAGCGAGGGAAGTATTTAGCGACGGATCAGCGAGGGATTTGCGAGGGAACTTTCAGCGACGGATCTGCGAGGGAATTTCAACCACTTTCAGCGACGGATTTTCCCTCGCTAATCCGTCGCTAATTTGCAAAAAAATAGGAAATATATTTTTTAAAAATGCATAAATCCTGTATTTATTTATAAAAACCTGGAAATAATAATAATATATAACAAACCAAATATGTGAACAAAGTAACTAATTCATACGATTTAAAATACGGATTCATACAATTTAAAATATTCAATTCATACAATTTAATCTTCGAATACATAAAATCTAACTATCGGGAGGTGGGGGAGGTGGGAAAACGTATCCTGACTGCCGCATAAACGTAGCAAAATGCTCCGATAATGCAGCCTGTTGGGCTAATGCAGCAGCTTGTCTGTTCTGTTCGGCCTCCAAATCTGCCCTCTTCTTCCGTTCTTCCTCCATTTCGGCCAGATGACGTTCCTCTACCCTTGCCAACTTCTCTCTCAACTCCGCTACCTGTAAATATTAAATATTCAACAAAATCAGCAATTTATTCGCAATTTTAGTAAAGAGAAAGTTTATAACAATATAACCAACGTACCTCCGCTCTTGACTCGTATGATGACCCGCTAGTGCTACATCTACCCATCATAGCAAAAGAGGGGTCCTGGGTGGTCCCGAAACCAAATATTCGGCCTTTCCTCCGTCCTCCGACACTTTGCTCCCAAAGAGATGCCTCATTAGGGGGAGGGTTGTCGGTACTAGATTGTGACTCACCCCTAAGCGATTGAAATCGCTCCTATGATTCACCAAAACAAAAATGGGTGAGGTTATGTATGTAGATATTTCAGCAGCATAACAACTGTAAATCAAACATAACCAATGCATGTATTTAACAAGTAAGCATTCTAGTAATACCAATGTTCGAAGTCGTATTCTCAACCTACTTACTTAGCCTAACGTCTGCCTAACAATGGCAGCTCAAACTAATAGCATTACTATGTTTATTGAAATATATTACCTTAAACCTACCAACGTATCTATTAATCAAAGTAATGGTTTTAGAAAACTTACATGATATCTAGCAGCTTTCGGKTAACTGAACTGAGGAGGATYGGTAGGCGGTTCGGACGAACCTTGATCGAACTTCCGGTTCGTGCAGTGAGTGCGCTCAAACACCTCAGTAGCAGTAGGCTCACGACCCAGTACTTGTGTCTATATTAGACAATTAGGTTAAGTTGTTACTAACATAAAGAA